AGATGAGCTTTGTGGCCGACGTGCTCAGGAAGCCCTCATGTGACTTTAGTTAGGGTTCTTAACCTGGCTATGGTGATCACTCCTTGGCAAGTGGACTCAGGTGAGGAAGACCATGGAATTTATCCAAAAACAGATGATTCAGGCTGTCTCCCAGCCTGTATTTTCTTTCCAATTTCATCCAGTTACTGCTTGCTAGAATCCTGGCACTACTCTGCCCAGGCAGTGGTTTTCTGGTCACAAAGAAGGCTTTCAATAGTACTGCTTCAGTCCACAAAAGTGCCAGTTCCATCTTTAGCCCATGCATTCCCATGTCCCTCTGAAACCACTCCTATCCCAGACCACGGAGCCATACGGCTCCTGGGAAGAGGCTTTCCTCCTCACTCCTCAATGATGTCAGCTTTGGATGCCTGTTCATGTCCAGAGGAGGGCACCTGGTAGGGGGCCGCAATAGCCACTGGGGTATACCATAGAACCTCGAGACCTTAAACCTGCAGAAGTGCAGTTGGCTTTGTGCACGAGCCCCAACACACCCTGTTGGAGTGTTCTTGGGGGTCAGAGACTACTCTTTGGTGCTAAGAGTTGACCTGAGTCCACATCCTGACCCTTGCTCCCTGCCATCTGATTGTCCCACTTACTCTGACGGTGAGAGATGATTTGGCCCAGCTCATATTCCTCCGGCTTCTCCTGAGTAAGCAAGTGTAGCTCGAGGGCCCTGCGGATGACGACAGGAGCCCTATCATGGCAGGTCACCTGGAGCAGCATGGGAGACAGGCCTTCAGGAAATGGGCCTTGAAGTGACTACTCAAGGACAGTGGGCAGAGGCATTATGGAGGCACCTCAACTCTAAATACAAAGGCAACATCCATGACCCTACCACCTGAGGCTGGCCTCCTGCTCATCGCGTGGGCTCTTCCCATAAGCTACTGGCCAATCCTTGTACATAGGACTGCCTGGACCTGCCATTGCTCTTTGTGGAGCCGCACTCCACTCGAGATGAAAGGACCCCACTACCTGTATACACATGGAATCTCATCCCACAAGTTGGGAGGAATGGGACAGTGGCCTCCAAGATCCCAGGTCTGCCTGAGGATGCAGGCGGCATTTGGGGTAGCCCCGGCACAAAACCTAGAGGCTTTGGTCTGGATTGCCAGGGCCCAAAATAGACCCAGGAACATGACCACACACAGGAGTGCTGAAAGATAGCCACGAGAGCTCCTGGCCTCCAGAGGCTGAGTGCTGGCTGGGGTGTAGGAGGACACCTCATCCGGCAAGGGTGGTCATTGGAGAGGGCTCCTGTCCTGCAGGTTACCTGGACATTTAGTGCGCTTGCTCTACATCCATATCGACTCTGCAGACAGACCCTGTCAGCTCCTTGTTCAAGGAACATGCAGAACCTCATACTGCTGTCCTCCTCCATGGACGCCAGCATCCCATACAGGGGAACCTGCAGCCTAGGTCCTGTCCTAGTCTCATCTGTCACCCATACCTGCCCCTGCCCTTCCAGACTGCATGCTTCCACCCGACACACAGACTCCCTCAGACATGGCGGTGGACAAGCTGCTGCTCTCCCTCATCTCAGCTCCGGCCCTTCACACTGACCTCTCCCTTCTTGATTCCCGTCTATCCTCCTGATCATCCAGAAGCTCCAAATTCAAGAGGGCATGAGTAGTCCATGGTCTTGGGCCAGTGTCTGTTCCCCACCCAGGTGGAAGCACCAGGGGACACCCCTGCTCCCAGGCTTACCAGGACAGTCTTGGCCATCTTTGGACTTTGTGTTTCTAAGTGGACACGAATTAAGCAGGTGTCTCCCACCAGCTTGTGGGAAAGCGGCCTGGAGGACTTGCAGGTTGATTCTGAGAACTGTGGGGGATGGAACATCAGCTAAGCCCAGAAACAGAAAGCCACCCAGCCTGTCAGTTGGCTCTATGGGCTTCTAGCACATATGTCTAGGTGATGAAGCTTCTTATTTCCCCAGGTGGAAGTGGAATGGCAGCACAAGTACAGCTTGAATAAGGTGGGAGTTTACCTCCTTTCCCTTGACCTGGGGGTGTTTCCTCACTTTTTTTATGAAATGATATTTTATTCGCGGATTCATGGACAGATACATGAGTGAGTGGTCAGGGACCTTGATTTCTGCAGAGAGAAGTGGAGAGAATTGCTAGGTGGCACTCAAGGATTATACCACAAAACACCACCAACCCCTGAGAGTCTCCACCAGGGCGGGCCTGCACCAGAATTGAGAGCCCTCCAATCCAGCTACAGTGCCACCAAAGACTCCCTCAATGATTCTTCCCTGGAGAAGATGATGTACAGGATTCTAAACCAAAAGAGCACCTGACAATGGAAACAGCACCTTGGGCCCCGGAACTTTTCAGTGCAGGTCAGATCTGCCAAAGAGACACTGCTAGGCTTTGCATCAGGATTGGCAAAGGCTCCTGTGCTTAAGCCTTTCTCCACAGTGCAGCCATGCTCAGACATGGGCATTCAGGGAATCCTTGGATGAATCCACTTATGGATGAATACGCGGAGGGGAGGTGGTATCCATCAGAGGTGTGTTGGGCATGGACATGGGAGGACTTCAGCAGGGTGATCCCTGGAGAACTCTATAGTTTTCTAGGTTCGCTCTCCTTCCCATTGTTTCTCATCATGAGCTGTCTGCTTGGTGCTTGTATTCTGGTTCTTGTTCTACTTCTGGCTCTTCTTTCTGTCCTGCATCTTCTTGTAGTTCTTTCTGGGTCTTTTTCTTGTTCTTACATGATTCCTTCTTGTTCTTCTTCTTGTGTATCTCCCTCCACCCTTCCTTCTGTTTCACCTCCTTCCTTTTCTTCTTCTTCCTCCTGCTCTTCAATGTGTGATCTTCTCCCCATTCAGGAATGTCCTCTTTCTCCTCCTCCTCCTCCTCCTCCTTCTTTCTCTGGCAATGGTTGGGCGTCCTCTGAGGAGTTCAAATCTATCACACTCTTCTGCCCAGATGCAGCCTCGGTTCAGAACCCCAAGATGAAATCAGTTCTCAATCAATGGTCGGGAGTGAAACCAAGACCAAAGAAAAGTGACTTCCTTTCTTTGTCATTGTCACAGTCAGGAAAGACTGAATAACAGACACCGCATTCTGGATAGGCTTCTACCTGTGGTAGTCAACACCTCATTTGGACCAGGATTGCTAAAATAGATTCCCCCTCCAAAAAGCTTCCCCAATGAAAACAAGGTTTTCAAGATCTAGGAGAGGGCCAGCATCACTGCCACCCTCTTGCCATAAGGCATAGATGCCATCACACCTAGTGGGTTCCAGGCCCCCGGTAGTCCTCACTTTTGATGTCTGTTACACACAAACCTCCCCTGGTCTGGAGCTGCTCTCAACTGATGCTTGGGTTGAAAGTGTGTTTCTGAAATGACCTTCGTAGAATCTCAGCTGGGTAATTCCTTATTGACTGGCTTATTTTTGTACCAGGGATAAAACCAGAGGCACTTAAGCACTGAGACCATTCCCAGGCCTTTTGACTTGGGTACAGGGTCTCCCTAAGTTTCTGAGGCTGTTAGGAAATCCCCATCCTCCTGCGCAGCCTCCCAAGTCCCTGAGATTCACAGACACTGCCCCCTTGCTAGCTCCTTGCACCGCAGTCTTCCTCATGTGTAAGACAGAGCCAACCCAAATGAGGTGGTGTTTGAAAATGAGAAAACTCACTTACATGCCCGACAGATGGTGGGTTCTATTGTGGACAGGCTGGGATGGTGGAGGCTAGGAGTGTCTGGCTCACAAGAAAGGAAAGAGCACTGCATTGTGGACAGCTCAGCATTGTGGCCTATGTTCTTCAGATGCCCTTCTTAGTTGCTGGAACGAATAATAACCTGGCCATTCTGATATCTTCAGGAGATGGTAACCCAGGCACAGAGGACTTGGAATTCTTCCAAAATGAACCCAAACAGGTGTCCCCTGGCCTTGACTTCCTCTTCACTGAGTTCTGTTCCCAGTTGCTGCAATCCTGACATTCTTGTGAGTAGGCAGGACTTCTCATATCCTGGCTATGGATTGGGACCTGTGCTGCTTCCGTCCATAGCAATGCTGATCCAATCAGGACCCATGTTCTCCTCCTCTTCATTTGAAGGCATCCTTATCAGTGAGCCATAAACCAAACTGATGATCAATTGAGCCTCTCTCTTCCTTGCCCCTCATCGATATTAGCTTTGCATTGCCAGACCAGGTCCAGGGGAGAACACATGTAGGGAGGTCCAGCAGCCCCCTGGGGCCTCATTGAGCACCTCCACATTGGACACGCCCATCATTGCAGTTGGTTTCCTGCACCAGGCCCACCACACTCTGGCTATTTTGGGGCCAACGCCCACTTTCTCTTGGCTGTGAGTTACCCTGAGCCCACTGTGGATCATTTCTCCCCACTGTCTGATTGTCCTAATTACTCTCATGCAGAGACATCATTCTCAGCAGCTCAAAGTTGTCCACATCCTCATGCTGCAACAAATTTTGGTCCTAGGCCCTGCGGATGAGGCTCGTCACCCTCTCCTGACAGGTCACCTGGATCAGGGTGGGACAAATGTCATCAGAGAATGGGTTTTGGAGGAGCTACCCATAAGATTCTGGTCAAACATTCAGGAGAAATCTCAGCTATATATACAAGGGCACAATCTTGTTATCCTGCTACCTGAGTGTGGCCTCCATATACCCCCTGGGTTCTTGCAACGTGCTACTAGAACAATCTTGGTACAAATGTCCGCCTGTACCTGCCATCTCCCCTCCCCCTGGGGAGTCACATTCCACTCAGGTCAAAGGACCAAACTGCCTATGCACAGACACACTCTCATCTCACTGAGATGAGAGCAATGGGCCAGGGACCTGCGTGCCAAGTGTGCTCTGGGATGCAGGCTGCCTTTGTGGGTGGAAGGGGGAGATACACTGAAAATTTTGGTCCTGACTGCCCCGGGGTTGGCTGTGTCTCCTGCCTTCCACTGTGGGGACACCCAGGAGGCAGCCCTGCTGTCGGGCTTACCAGGATGCGCTTTGTCTCCCTCGGGCTCTGTCCCTCTAGGAGGACGTGAACCACGCGGCTGTCTTCCACCTGCTCGCTGGAGTGAAACAGTGAGGAGCTGCTACTGGTGACTTTTCTCATGCAGCACTCATTGCTTTGGGTGGCCTGGGGCAATGGTCCTGCAGCCACTGCAGAGCTGCTGCTCACAGCTGCTGGGATCCTGGATGCCACTGCCATAGAAGGCTCCAAGAACTGTGGGGGATGACAACATCAGCAAAGCCCAGCACCTGCACCCCACCCAGCCTGGCAGTTGGCTCTATGGGCGTTCTACAACATCCATCCAGAACCTGAGGTTCTTGTCACCTTGGCACCAGGAGTAAAGACTGAAGAAGGTGGCTGTTTACCTCCTTTGGCTTGACCTTGGACCACTTGCTGGCAGCTGTTTCCCGAAGAAGAAAGTTATAATCCACTCTGCCATCCAGGGCGTGATATACGTTCCCATCAGCAGGGATCCTCAGCTCTGGAGAGGCAGGGGCAGAGGCATGGTAGGTGACACTCAAGGAAGACACTACCCAACATCCCCCACAACTGAGAGCCTCTGCCAGCTCAGATCTCACACACAGACCTGAGAGCCCGCAAATCCAGCTACTGTTCCACCAAAGACTCCCCACTGATTCCTCCCTGAGGACCCTCTGTGCACAGGAGGTCCACTACAGGAACACCTTTCAAGGAAATAGCCCCTTGCACCCCAGAACCTCTCAGTTCACGTTAACCTGCCAAAGAGAAACAGCTAGACTTTGCATCTGGATTGGCCCCCAAAGACTCATGTGTTGAAGGTTTTCTCCCCACTGCAGCAATGATCACAGGTGGGTTTGGGGAAAAGCACTTGAAGGTGGGTGCCTCCACCTTGCCAGTGGATTCATCCACTCATACAGGGCTATGCTAATTTGAGGGGTATGGATTGGAGGTGTGTTGGGCGTGGGTGGAGGATGTCCACAGCAGGGCTGTGCCATACAGAGAAATATGTTTCTCTTGAGTTCCCCACTTCTGCATTTCCTCCTCATCAGTATAATTCTCATTCACAGTTTTAATCGATTTATTGTTATATTAGTTGTTTGGCTTGTGTTTCTCCTTCTTGTTCTTGTCCTTCTTCATTTTCTCCTCATGCTTCTTCTTATAGTCATCTTGACCTTCTTGTTCATTGTCTCCTCCTTCAACTCATTTTCATTTCATTTTTCTATTCCTCCTTCTCCTCCTCCTCTTCTTCCTCTTCCTCCTCCTCCTCCTCCTCCTCCTCCTCCTTCTTCTTCTTCTCTCTCTCTCTCTCTCTCTCTCTCTCTCTCTCTCTCTCTCTCTCTCTCTCTCTCTCTCTCCAAGAAGAGTTTACAAGCTGTGAAGGGTTCTATTCTACCACACACTTCTCTCTAGAAATGGCCTCTGGTCCTAAGTGGACTCAGTTTGCAATGAATAGAAAGATTGGAAGCCAGAAATGATTCTTCATTGAACTGCTTTTCTCATGTACTCATCTCAGTCAGGAAAGGCTGCCAAAGTAGGCACCCTGTGGTTGTCTGTCTTCTGTGACACAAGACAAAGGAGCCTCTCTTCTTGGCCCCTCATGGATAATAGCTTTGCAATGCCTCCTCAGATCAAGGAAAGAACACATGGTAGGCAGGTCCACAGCCCCTGGGGAACATGAAGAACCTGCAGATTTATGCCCCATCATTACACTTTGTTTCGCGCACAAGTCCCACCATACTCTTCCTGGGCATTGGGCCAAAGCACACTGTGTTTTGGCTCCCAGTTATCCTGAGCCCACTGTGACTCACTGCTCCCTACCCTCTGATTGTTCCACTTACTCTGATGGTTCGAGACAATTTGCAGAAGCTCAAAGTTTTCTGGATCCTCCTGCTGGAGCAAGTGTGCATCTAGGGCCCTGCGGATAATGACTGGAACCCTGTCCTGGCAGGTCACCTGAGCAGGGTTGGAGAAAGCGCATCAGAGAGGGAATTTGGGAGTAGCTACCCAGAGGACAGTGCTCAAGGACAATCAGAGACAACTGAGCTCTCAACACAAGGGCACCATCTTGTTACCCTGCTACCTGAGGCCTTCATGTGATCATGTGGGGTCTTCCTATCTGCTTCTAGCCCAATCTTGGTACAAGAGTTTGCTTGAACCTGCTATGCCCTACAGGGAGAAGGGAACAAGGACCAAACAGGTTTTGCACAGACACACTCTAGTCCCATCAAGATGGGAGGTAGGGTCCAGTGAGCTTCCATATCCCTGCTCTGGTCTGGGATGCAGCAGCATTTGTGTGCAGATCAGGAACAATCCCTAGGTGCTTTGGTCCTGACAGCCAGGGCACAACACACACTCAGGACTCTTTAATGATAGGCATGGAAGCTGCTGGCCTCAAGAGTGTCAGTGCTTGCTGGGGTGTCAGGAGGTATGGACCCAGCAGGTGAGGTGGTTCAACATGACTCCCCTGCAGCTGGACACCAGAGTCTCATGATGGATACTCCACACCCAGCAAAATTCTGCAGAGAGAGCCGCTAACTCTCTATTCACATACATGCAAACTAGGACACTAATGGACCCCTCCAAGGCCCCCAGTTGTCTGTGACCCACACCTACCCACCCTAATCATCCCACAATGGCTCCCTTCCCTTCAACCAGCAACGTATCCCCTCCCACACACAAGAAGATGACTGCCAACTCCTCTGCTTCAACCTCCACTGTTCAATATACTCCTCCTCAATACCAAGGTCGGTAGAGGACGGCCTGTACCCTCGATAGTTCTCTGACCTCCTCTGAACCCAGCACTCGCTCCTGCACTTCTGGCCTGCACACCCCAAAACACGCAGGCCCACTCCCACCCAGACCTGGCATGCTGCTGCTCCCCGCCTCTCAGGTCAAGCTCTTAACACCGAACTCTCTCTTCCTCATTTTCTGCTCTCCTTCCTGACCTTTCAGAAGCTCCAATTCAAGAAGACAGGCCTAGTCCAAGGTGTTTGCTGTGGACTCGGTCTTCCCCAGTGTGGGCTCCCAGGAGACTCCCCTGCTCGAAGACTCACCAGGATGCTCTTATACTTTGTTGTCCTTTCGTTTTCCAGGTAGACGTGAATGAGGCAGCTGCCTCCCACCCGCTTGTTGTACTGGGGCCGTGAGGAGCTCCTAGTGGAGACCCCTGATGTCCTGGACTCCGGCTCTGCCCCTTCCCAGGGAGAAGGCTCTGGCTCTGGGGTTGGCTTAGGAGCCGTGACAGGAACTGAGCTTGTAGCTAGAGGAGAAACGATGCCAACATGACTGCCTTGCCCTGACCTTCGCACAGACAGACAATACCCCTGCTGCCAGGAAGAACTCAGGCCCTTAGCCCACACAGGACCTCTTTGCAGACTGGGGTCACTTCCTGAGTGGACAAAGGCTTATCCTCATTTCCAGCCCAACACCAGGCATACACACTCCCCGCAGTGGGACAACAGTCGGACCTTTCCTCATATACCCTTGGGTACTCACCCCAGTCCGCCTGGCTCTCAGGCTCTGCCTGGCTTGATTTGCCATCTTCAGTCTGGGCCAGCAGGTGGTGGGCTTCGTGCTCCAGGTTCAAGCCACCCAGAAGGAGCCACATGGATTGCAGTAGTAGCTGCAGACTCAGAGAGCCTGGAGGCTGATGGGAAGCCTCGGTGTAGAAGTTCACCCAGGTCCCCGGGAAGGAAGGTGAGGCACTGTGGGGAGGCAGGAGGGGAGTCAGCAAAACCCTGGCCTTGCCTTCACCACGGCCTCCAGAGCAAACCTCTGACGCTACACTCCTGAACCTTCCCTGGTTCTGAACACACCAGTCAACCTCAGACAAGTCACAGTGGCTGTACAGGCAGGGACAGGACAGGTCGCGAGGCAAACAACCTTCAACGAAGGAGCGTTAGATCCATGGTATGACCAGCTCTCCCCTCCTCTGGGAAGGCCTGACACTCTTCTTCCTCTTGGCTACGTGCTCTCCAACCTGGAATGCACCTTCCAGGAGTGTCTGTCCTCCTGCCCACTCTTCTCAGGGCTCCAGAGACACCTCCTCCCCTGGCGTGGGCTGCAATGCTACCTCATTCTCTGTGAGCACTCACTGAGTCCCCCTGAGCAGCAACGGACCTCTCTTTTCCCATGAGTGCAGACCACATCTCTGTGGCCCTGGGGGAGGACTGGGAGGTGTAGTGTGGGGGGATCCATCGTCCCAGGGCCTTCCCCAGAGGACCATGACTACCTACAACTCCCTGCCTTACCCCTCCTACTGCTGAAGCCCCGGACCTTACACTGCATGCAGGAAACAGAATTGGGGAGAACAGTCTTTCCTCAGCCTTCCCAAGTCAAATCACCTTGCAAGTCCTTATTCTGGAAACAGGAGCCCACCCTCTTGACCCCAAGCCCATTCCATGTTGAAGTTGGTCCAGGGTCCACCATGTTCACTGAAGAGGACAACGTGCAGTTATGCCTCATGGAGTCAGGGATGCTGTCACATGTAGGATATGTACTCATGGCACCTGCGGTTTCAGGCTGACCCCCATGAAAAGGGACACAATGGCAGTCATTTGCACCCCATTTTTCACTGAATTATGAAACGTGACTGGAAACGTGTCTTCACACAGTGGGTGCTTTCTCCTTGTTCATCAGTGAATGAGCCCAAATTGCTGATTCCCACATATCTCTCTGGTTGTGGGAGCTGCCATCTCCAAAGCCCCCGTCCAGCTATGTCCCAGCTAGGAAGCTCTGGCCCACTATGGAAACTAACATGTCTTTATTAACCCAAAAGTGCTTTGCCCAAGGCCCGAGTTTTGAGACGCCTCTGGCACAGATCTACTTTCTTCACGAAGCCAACATCACACCAGAAAGACCACCTGGCCTCACTGAGTCCACCTGGGAATGAGCTCAGCGCATACCTTTGAGCTGTGGTGCCCAGTGTGTGGGGACTGCTCCACGGACCTCTGTGGATCAGCTGGAGTCAGGATGGTTTCTCTGCCTGAGAGGGGGGAGTTCACTCCCCTTGCAAGGCTGTGGCAGGCACCTCCAGGACTCGTCCCACTCGGGGCTGACATTCCACTATGAGCCTGGTCCTCTATCTCACTAGGTATCACAAACCTTTGGGTCCCTGAGAGGTACATGGCAGCCCCAAGACCCAGGCATGAGGGGGCTACACACTTGGGCTTCGTGGTCTGGTGCTTACCTTGGGAACAAGAGATCCAGCACCTGCTGGGTGGGGATGAAATCCCAGGAGATTAACCCCATGTTGCTGCGGAAATGTAGGTTCCTCCCACAAATGTCAGGCAGGAGCTCATTCCTAAGCTGGTCCTGCCTGGAAGATTCAAGGCTCTGTACCCTGAAGGGCTCCTCCGTGTTCTGATCATTTTCACCCTGGGTTGGGACCAAGAATGGTGGGTTCAAAATGGAAATGGTGACAAACAGAAAAATGCCTTGTGCCAATACACTAGAGTCAAAGCACAATGGGACAGTTCCCATCAGTACAAACACACACACACACACACACACACACACGCAGTCAGAATAGGAGTCCTGGGCCATTCATCAGGGATCAGAATAGAGGGCCTGCTGGGCTCCCCTGCCCTGTGCTACTCACTGTTACTCTTGAGCTCCTCTGCGACAATCGCCAGAGGCTCTGGCATCTAAGATGAAGCCTCACCCAGTGTATCCACAAAAGGGCTGGTGGGCCCCCCTGAGATTCCTGGGAGCCTGAGGTTCGGCATTGTTTGCAACCACAGGAGAACATCCTTCTCACTTCAGTGTCTCCAACCAAATGAGCTCGGATGGCTTGGTCAGTGAAGTGGGTGCCTGGATACCAGGGTTCCATGTTCTGTTTGATCCATTGTCAAGGCGATGATGTCATTTCCTGTGCCCATACCTGAGCCTCTTTTCACATAAGACCACTTTCAAAAGCCCTATGGGCTGCTGATTTCTCCTCCATGCCTACCCATATAAGGTGCGCATGTGTTCACCAACAACTACCCAAATACCCCCACCAGCATCTGCCCTGCTTGGTGCCACTAGAGTTCCAGCTTGGAGCCTTCAAAAATGCATTCACAACCAGTCCTTCCCTCTCAGCAGCTTTTGGACCCTGGTCTCATCCTTGTGCAACTCATGGCGTGCCCAGTCTTTTCTGGAAAGCAGGGTAGCATCTAATCTCTAGGGTTATTGTGTCTATTGGCCCATAACAGCCTCTATTCTCTCTGAAACCAGAGATGGGACTCACAGGTGGCTAAAGCACAAACGTAGAGATGGGACAATCACAAGAAGCGGAGAGACAAAGAATGCACCCCAACTCAATCAGGCCTGTGTCCCACACAGGGACGTGGCCAACGTCCGTCCCATCCTGGCTGCAGTTCCCACTCTGCACCATGGCAAGTTGGAGGCGACTGAGATGCAGAGGCTGCTCCCCTCTGCCCTACAACTTCCCAAGGCTTCTCCTAAGAATTCCAAAGGGCCCAAGTGCGTCGAGTGTTGGGGTCTCACAGAGACTCCGAGGTACCACAGCATCCTGCTGCCAGAACCAGTTCACCCCTCACCTCAAGGGGCTCAGCCTCTGGATTCATGGGAATTGAAGTGGGTATAGGTGATGGGATGTCATCTCCAAGACTGAGTTATGCCAAGTCCATGACCCCTGTCTGCATCCCTGTCTCCAGCACCACTTCCCTCTCTCTCTTTCCTCCTCAGAGCAAACAAATCCATTTAGCAAGTGTGTCCTGTGATAAAGACATGACAGTCACCCATCCTCTCATTACAAAAACACTGAGGCTAGCCAACATGGATCCTACCAGGAACACAGGCATGAACTCAGACTCTGATCCTCCCAGCCGAGCCTCGGTGGAGCCTGGACTCCCAGCCTCCTGAGTCAAGGAAACAGAGGTGCCTAGCCGAGCCACCTTGGATGCAGCCGCACACAAACTGAACTGATCAATGCCTCTTGCTCTCAGTTGTGAGTAAGAGGGGAGGTGGTGTCTCACAACCCTGGACATCAAGTGCAGTCTCCAGGCTTTGGGGTGTGCCCTGGCCTCTCTCTATCTGCCCAGGCCCTCCAACCCACACTGGCCTTTTACCCAACCTCCTCCTAGGGCCAAACTCAATCCTGCCTCTCAATTTCTGCTGCCTTCCCCAACACACTGCTCCCCAAAATGAGCAGGCCTGGCTCTCTGTTATCATGCTGGTGCCAGCAGCAATGCCACCCCACTGACATAATTCTGAGTCCCAACCTAGGCACTCCAGCTGTCCTTGCCACACCTGGCCTGTTTGGGCTCTGGCTCTTGCTCTTTTCATTCATGTGCATGTATTTTGAGGTTTTGTGTTTCTCCCACTGCAGAACTGCAGCTGGAGCAGGGTAGAGCTCATGAGGGTGACATTCTGAGCCACATCCAGTCCCATCAGGACTGTTAACTGGGGTGACTGCTGGAACACGGTGATGAGTGAACACATGGGAGGTGGTTGGACCCACCTTGCCTCTGAGGGGCTTCCTTTCAGGACAGGAGTGCTAGGGATGGGAGCCCCTGGCGTGGGATGCTTTGGACAAGGCGTGACCACGGGCTCTCTTTCCTGGCAAAAATGGCTCCACTGAGCATGGAGAGCACTGTCATTGCTGGTGGCTAACAACAGCCCTGGACCCCAGTAAGGACCCCACACTCAAGACCTACCCCTGAGTGTGCGTGTCCTCAAGGAAATGAGGTCTCCTGATCCCAGGTGCAAAGGAGTAAGTCCTCTAACTCCAGGGGCCATGAGGGACTTCTGAGTTTCCCTTGTCCTTCTTTACCTCTGCTGAAACCATGGTGTCCTCACACTAACCACAGTTAGGACCCTGGCCTCATTCCCCATAAAGGCTCCATAAAGGACAGTCTCTAAGATGCTCAGTGGACCAACACCCTCTGCACAATGCATACCCCTATTCACTCAAGATGCAAGAGGATTTCTATTCAGGAAAACCAGGAAAGGGAGAGCCTTTCTCAAGGACATTAGTGGGTGAGGGTGTGCTTAATGGATGGAGAACTACGGCCACCACCAACTTCCAGGAGCATATATGGCCCTTTGGGCACAGGTCCATACCCTACTTTTCCCCATCAAATTTTTCAGAGAAGTGAGGCTGTCTCTTAGATGGCACCTCAACACTACAGGGTCTCCTACTTCTTCCACAAGAAAATAGTGGGCAACAGGCCTCCCACTATGTGCATCCGAGAATACTCTGGGGGCATCTGCAACCTTTCAAGACCCCAGGAACCATGGGGGCACCCAGCACCAGCAGAGCATTTCTGCACATCACAACAATCACCCTGGGTGAGAACTCTCCATTCCACTCTGTACTATGCCCTGTCATCTGACCTGATCAGTCGAACCCCTCTCCTTCCTGTTTCTTGATTGTACTGCTATGGTTCCAGACATGGATGCCAGGGTGCTTGTGGCCCACCACAACCGTCTGGGTGCCAGGAACAAATGACATAGAGGAATGTGTCTGGGAACTTCTGGATGACGGGAAGTCCCACCCTCCAGGTTTTCATCTTCAACGCAATGAGTGCGGAGGGAGCCAGGAGGGCTTTGTCAAGTAGAGAGGTGGGAGCTGACTGAGCCTCAACTAAGTGCCCAGGACTCTGGGTTCAGAGCTGGTGTTATGTGGAATTGTTGAGAGACGTGAAGAAAACCCAGCTCACTGTATGCAGAGACAGCAGATGCCCTCACGTGGTCAGGCTGCTGTGCTTCTCAGAGCCCTGAGATGTTCCACGGGTGTGGAGGTGGGGAACCCACGTGCCAGCCCAGGCTGCTCCTGAGCACCTCTACCTGGATTCGAAGCACGTGACTCTGCATCAGAGTCATCACATCAATGTTTCCCTGCCCCCCACCCCAAAAGTTCTCTCAGAGACACTGAGATTCCGCTGGCTCTGGACTTGCCCTTTCCTCTGGGATCCTGGGGGCCTATTAATTAGGAGGTCACACCAATTCTCAGCACACCGGCTGGGCCCCCTCACATCCCAGGAGTATCCAGGCATTGGTTCTATTTATAGTCCATCATGACCCACGACACAATGGACACATTCTGCAATTGCTAAAGAAACCACCAGGCACAGGGCTGTCGTGCACACTGGCCTGTAGAGACCTGGAAGAGGAGGGGACTTACAGGCTGCGTGGAACCCAAGACCCTAGATCCTGGGATCTGAGCTGGACAGACGACAGCTCATGTGAACACAGTCACCACTGTCACTGAGAATGCAACTGAGACACCCGCAGATTTGGCAGTGGACCCGGTATGCCCACGAGTGGGGGTGAACTGAATCCCTTGAAAATGATGATGTCCAGAGAAACACAAATTTTGTAGGATTTCACTCATCTCAGGTTCCCAATTATCAGGTTCATAAAAAGATAAAGTACAATGTTTTTTGCCTGGGCCTGGGAGGGCACTAGAATTCAGTACTGATGGCAAGAGTATGTCCATGTGAGTTCTAGAGATGCATAGTGGTGATGCCTATGCACCAATATGAACATGCTTAATGCCACTCAACTGTGCACTCCAAAATGGTTCAATTACAAAATGGATGTTTGGTGTTGATTACCACAATGTAAACACTTGGGAGACTACTGATTGACTCATCTTAGCATAGTTTGCGTTGTGATGGTAGAATACAAGACACTGGGTAATTCATAGCATAGATTTTATTTCTCAAACTTGGGAGGCTGGAAGACCAAAACCGGGGGCCAACTTGTAAGAACGTTCTTGTTGTGTTCTCCTCTGGAAGCAGGTGAAACAGGGACAAGGGCTGCTTTGAGAACCCCCTTCCCAGGGAAGGAGAATCCATGGCCTAAGCACATCTTCAAGTTCTTACCCGCTAACACAGCATAATGCAGAGACAGAATAGAATGATAGCCCATGCTCCCCAGAACATCCCAACTTCTTGGCATGACTCCATTTCTGCAACATTTCACAGTAGATTTTGGATAAGACAAGAGTTAAGCTGAACACATGGGGAGAGGGCTCCCTTCTCGTCTGCTGCTTGCAGTGTTGCAGGTGGCCTTACAAGCCATCACTGAGGTTCTGCACAACAGCTCCGACTGCCCTCCTACCACATCCCCATGGGGCTGACTCACACTCAAGTCCTGAACACTCCCAAGCCCAAAACCAGAAATGTCACAGGAAATCCAAGGGAGATTTGTTCGAAGTCCTCCAAAAACACCATCCACACAGGCTTGAGTCTCTTACAAAAATGCCAGAGTATTTGCATCTAAACGCTGCATATCTTCTTCCTGTAGCATTTCCATTATCTCCAGATGATTTGTGACACCTAATACAATGAAAGGGCAGTGTCATTCTCTGTAAACTGTAAGATCCAGGAAACAATGAGGAGACAAGTATCTGTCCAGAGAGACACAACTCCTTTCCTGATAGTTTGGATTTCCAGCTGGTGGGGACCATGGATGCAGAAGAATGGGTGCAGGGCCAACTGCACTTTCTTGCTTTGCATTGAGGGGAGGAAACACCGCAGCCAGGATGAGGGCTTCTAGGAGCTGATATCCTTCAAGTCAACATCCGGACACATCTGACCTTCAGGCCAGAAGACTTTCTAGCAGGGGATCCAAGGACTTGCCTACTGTGGAAGAAATCCAAAAGAATAACTTACTTCAAAGGGCATCAAAGAGGTTCAGGAGGGAGGGAGCCAACCCAATTGCCTAGACACTTTTAGAGGTCAGAGTGTGGGTTCCAATGCAAACACCGCAGTCCCATGGAGAATTCTGCAGTGTGTTGGTGATTAAAGAGAATGTATGAATCCAGGGGTCACTAGGTCCTCTCAGCCATAAGGGGGAAGCTCCAGGAGCCTTGCCCACAAGGTGAACCAGGCAGCTGGTCCCAATAGCCACGCCCACCGGCTCCATGCTGTTCCATCACCATGGTAACCGCACAGCCTGGCCAGGCCTGGATGGCTTCCTGATCCTGCCTCCTGCATTTTCATGGGCTCCCCATTGGTCCTTCCACTGTCAGACAGGCTTCTAGTCCTGTGGTCCAGCCCCAACCTGTATTTCCTACTTCACACAGGTCCACTACCAAACCTACACAGAGCCTGAATTTCTAAGCATGCCCACCTATAAATACCAAGGAAAGATATATTTTTCAGGCAAAACCTAATTTCACAGGCTTCTACGTTGCTGCCCTAATCCTAACATGATTTTTATCCTTCGAAAGGTTTCCTTAGAAATTCTTTATAGCTATATTTTTAAGAAAAATTGCAGAAGTAATATAACAATTATAAGAGATACATAGGCTTGCTTATGTTTTATATTTGGAGGTTATGAGGATGCATTTTCTCTCCACAGGAACAAAAACCAGCATTCTGAGACCTTTTCTCACAATGTTCCTGTGATGACCAAGAAATCCTTATTCTTCTCATGCCTGACTATATAATTATAAAAAAATAAGTAAATGTTACACAAGGATTTTACTTTAACCACATCATGTGATGTCACAAATATAAAAAGTGCACTACTAGTCCAAAGTAAAATAAATGGCTTTAAATACTTTAATGGGGCTTATTTAAAAATTCCATGGTTGTATAATAGTAGGTTATATCCTTATTCTTTTTTTAAAAAATATATTTATTTTTTAGTTATAGGTGGACACAATGTTTTTATTTTACTTTATATGGTTCTGAGGATCAAACCCAGTGCCTCAAGCATGCTAGGTGGACACTCTACCTCTGAGCCACAACCCCAGCCTCCCCACATTTATTCTTAATGCATATGTTTCCTATTATTTGGATTACCTATAGCCCTTAATTTATAAAATAATTAACTTATATGTCTATTTGTTTAATTAATTGTATCTATTTGTTTCTAATCATTTTCCTTCAATAGAAAACACATAATTTATATTTCTTATGCATGCATTTATCTGATGCTCTGCCTTTTATAGTTACAGATATTTGAGATAAATGTATTTTACTATAAAATTTTTTCTTTCAACTATCAAGTAAACTCTAATTCTCAAATTATTGTACAAACTTTTATAAGATGATAAACAAATATGATTCTGTCTATAGAAATGTCCAAGGGCTTTAACTATATTTTTATTGAGGTATTTCTTCTTATCAAGGTTCAATAATTTGTTTAGGTTCCAAGGTTTACAGAAATTGTTCCAAAGTATAACCAAAATAAAAAAAACAATCCTAAGAGGAGAAGAAGATACTTCCACAGAGAGGAAGCATACACTGGAGGTCCCAAGAAGAAGAAAATAATCATCTTTGGGTAAAATAAGGTCTTTATATTCTAGATTTTAATGATAAAATAATTTTCCTAAATAAAGAAATCTTATATCACTATCTAGATAGATGATATAGAAAGTTAAAACAATTAAAAAACAGATTTATGTATAACTGGACTGACTATAATAATTTGAACTGATTAATTCTAGGATATTTCAGAATTTTCCCCCTGATTTTATTATACTAATATGAACCAAGATTTTGTTCATATTTTGACATGATAAAGACCTATTAAATTGTTAAGTTCATTTCCATTAAGTAAGGTCTTCATTTGCCTAATGATCCTTAATGTTTAAGACAAGGATTAATTTTAGTGAATAAATTGACATCTTTCATTAAACAATAAATATTTTAAAATGCTCACTTAAATTCCAATGTTCACTCTTCTCCTTGGAGACTAAATTGATTGATTCAAGACATCATTGAATGTTTATGGGATTTGGGAGATTGGATTATTATTATTATTGGAATTGATGTTCTCCAAATTAAAGTAGCACATTAGTTTTGAACAATGAAAGTTACAAATTTTGTTGGAAATTCATTGGTATTACATAAGTTCTCTGAATGGACCTATAATCCATGAAACATTGTAAGACTTGTATATTGCTCCATACACTGGGCATATTTTCTAAAAGACAATTAAAAGACACCTATTTAAAGGATAATATTCTGAGATATAAAGATATTTTGAGACTTTGTCTCAGAAAGAGATTGAGAGTTCTTTTTAAATTGTTAGGATGGACCAGTTAATCTCTATACTGGGATATGAAAGGTATCAATAAAAGGTATCTCATTTTCATATCTAGTCTC